GTCCCTAATAGCAGACTTTCCCATCGTAATACATCTTTTAACTTCCTGACTACTGGTGTCAAGAGTGTTGACTATGGAGCCAAGCAAACTAAAGCTGTGAACAATCTCATTCTCTTCACCATCCATCCTGATGCTGCCAATTGGTCCAGTGGTGAGAATCTTTGTCTTCTTGACATTGAGCCGTGAAAATCATCATGTTATGTATAGTCAGCTTTCTATTGACTACATCATGAGTATTTTTCTCTATTCTTTGCAATATCCTACTTGGTTTCTCAAGCTGAGGGAGTTTGGTGGTCTGGTGGGTTAGAAGTAGTGTTGCTAACTCAAAGGTAGCGTTTCTCTGTTGGTTCAAATCCACCTGCACCTCCTCATGAGAAAGGTGAGCAGTCTCCTCCTGTGCAATTTACTGCCTCTGAAAACCTTCTGGAGCATCTTGTCTTGAGTCACTTCCAATGTGATGGCAGCAATTTTTTTCAAGTTGAGTGAATTTTCTGTATTTAAAAAAAATAACTCAGTGAAAATACGTTTTTTTAAATTTTACTTATTTGGCATATAATACACCAAATATTTAAAGGAGTATTGGTGGTGTAGCAAGTTACTTGCTGGGCTGTAAACTGGAAGGGTGGTGCCCCAAAGGAGAAACACAGGGCGGTGTCCTGCCATAAAGATTTATCACCTTGGAAAACCCCATGGAGGGTCATATGATTTAGGTTTCAGTGAGGGTTGTTTGGTTTTTATGATACCAAACAGCTAGTAGTAGATAGGACATTCCTGGGTGTTGTGGGAAAAAATCATAAATAAACTGGTCTCCTTGCTCCTGAAATTTTTTAAACTCGAAAAGTTTAAATAAATGCACCTAAATAAAATGCAGAGTTTGACTAACGACTTTAGACAAAATGCTATGTTTCTTCTATGAGAAAAACATGAAAAACAAGGAAAGTTTGATAAATTGTCATAGTTTCTTAGGATCACAAATAAAGGCAATATCATTGTGTAAACATCATTACAGTCTCCTGGAAGGGCTCATAAAGCAGAAAATGAACAGTCAGCCAACTCAAAGGAATTGGTGTAGCAGCAATGGATAATTAGTTGTGGTAAACCCACTGTCACAAGATGTTAATAAAAGGGTAAACTGGGGGAATGATACGTGAGAAATCAGTGCTATCTTCGCAATGTCTCTGTAAAACTAAAGTGATTCTAAATTAAAAGTATATTAAAAATAAAAACATAAATTGATAAAATTAACTCCTCTTTTCTGTATGTCCCTTACAGGTCAGATACACAGCTCTTATTGAAGCCCCTAAAATCAGCAGTTACTTCTTCAGCTTGAGAACGTCTTCACCTTTGACAACTGAAATATAATTAATATGCTTAATCACAATTGATGAGCAGGAAAATCACATCTTTTTACCTTTTTTTATAATTTTTTTACAGAGGTTTTGGATTTCCATTCATTCATTGCTGCAATTTTCTCCCTTCCCACCCCTCCCCACCAGCTCGCTTCCCCCTCCGAAGAGAGAGAAAAAAAAAAGAAAGAAAAATAATTCCTTCATTAGCATACAATTCCCACGTCCCTTCCCCCCAACCCCACCCTGAGTACACTTCTCTACGCAACCTTAATTCTGGATTCCTGTGCTAACCATAATACTCAATCATATATCACTTCTAATCTTTTTACCTTTTTTAAATGAATGTTGTTCCTCTTTCTTACTCTGTTACTGAGTCAGTTCTGACTCACAGTTGGCCCTCCATTCGGTTTTTGAGGCTGGAAATCACAACTGGAGGTTATTAACCATATTGCTTCCTCAAAGCTATAGGTGGACTCAAGCTGCCAGAAATGTGCAGCCTTGGAGTTAACAGTGTGTCTCTCTATGGACTATACCACCAGATCCTTAGTTTTGTTAAATGGTCCGCCTTCATTTTCTCTCATTCTGATGCTATCAAATTTTCTGGCTTATAAATGTTGAAGATTTCATTTGAAACATAAAACAAATAAAAGATTTTACCAACAAGATACATTATGTTTCTTTGCTCTCACTAAAATGTTTTTACAACAGTTAAAGTCAAGGGCTATAAAAAGAGTGCGGTAGGCACAGAGGTGGCAGGATCTGACCTCCACTAATCCCAGAAGGGAGATGGCTTCCCGTTAACAATGGCAGTGACACAAACCTGATTCCTATGAGATCAGATATACCTCCCAAGCATCTCTCTCATAGAGTTCACTGCACTAGAACTGCAATAGCTACACAGAGCTCACAGACAATATTCAAGACTATGGAGCTCTGGTAG